ACGTCAAGCGAAAACGGTCGTGGTCGAAACGCGGTGAGCCGGCGCAAACGGTGGCCAAGCCAGGATTGACGGTCAGGAAGGCTTTGCTGTGTGTTTGGTGGGATTGGCAGGGAATCATTCACTATGAGCTGCTCCCCTATGGCCAAACTCTTAATTCGGACCTGTACTGTCAACAATTGGACCGTCTTAAGGAATCAATCGCCCAGAAGCGGCCAGCTTTGGTCAATAGGAGAGGAATTGTGTTCCATCAGGACACACGCCTGGCCACACACATCGATAGTGACTCGCCAGAAGCTCCGGGAGCTTGGTTGGGAGGTTCTTATGCATTCACCTTATAGTCCGGACCTGGTACCAAGTGATTACCTCCTGTTCCTGTCTATGGCGAATGATTTTGCTGGTGAAAAATTCGCCTCAAGAGAAGCTTGTGAAAATCGACTGTCCCAGTTTTTTGCCAATAAGGACAAGGGTTTCTATGAGAGAAGCATAATGGAATTACCTTCAAAATGGCAACAAGTTATCGAAGAAAACGGTACATATTTGACCTAAATCGGATCATTTTAACTATGCTAAATAAAGCCTTCAATTTCATGCAAAAATAATGAATTTCTTTTTACTATACTTTATATTATACCTTATAATATATATATATATATATATATATATATATATATATATATATATACAGGGTGTCCCATTTTAAATTAGGTACCTGAATATCTCGTCAGGGGAGCCACCAATCCGAAAATAACCCTTACAAAAGTTGTTGGGTTCGGAGGTGGATATCGGATGGTGACCTTCAATTTCACCTTGACCTTCAAGGTCATTTGAAGGTTAAATCAAATTTTTGAAGTAGAAACTTTAAAGTTATGTTAAGAGTCGAAATAACCTTTAAATACTATTTCAAGTTCGAACCGCTTACAAGTCTAGTATCACCTGAAAACCAAAATTGATTGTGGTTTGTTTTTTAAGATATTTGAATTAATAGTCATTCGTATAAAATAAAATTGTTCACACCAGAACCTGCGTCGTCACCGACATAATACATACATCGATGTCCAGGGCGCACGGCGAGGACGTAGCAGAATGGATTACATCTTTTTTTCAACTTTTTTTTTCTTACAACTTCTGTAAGGGTTATTTGAATTGGTGGCTCCCCGACAAGATATGTATTCAGGTGCGTAATTTCAAATATTTTGTCCTTGAAATAACCTCTGAAGGTCATTCCAATGAAGAGTCTCAAGTGCTCATCTAAACGTAAAATTTTGCGCTCTTTCCGAATCCGTGGTCAAAAATAGGGGTTTCTATTTAAAAATTCGATTTGACCTTTAAATAAAGGTCAAGGTCAAGGTGAAATTGAAAATCACTATTCCATGTCCCCCTTCGAACCCAACAATTTTTGTAAGGGTTATTTTCGGATTGGTGGCTTCCCTGACGAGATATTCGGGTGCGTAATTTAAAATGGGACACTGTATATACACATATATATATATACAGGGTGTTAGTTAAATATGTTGCCATACTCAATAGAGCGATTCTTTGATTTATTTCAAGTAAAAAAGTTCATATAAACATGTGTCTTAAACGGCTTAGTTTCTGAAATAAAAAAAATTTAAACATGTTATAATAATTTGATTCGTTTAGAACAGTTTTCTCTAGTACTGGTGTTCTAACTGTCATAGGCTTTCCAAGATCAACAGTATTCCTTACAAAAGAACTCTTTTCTCAAAGATAGCGGTGAATGTTCGCAAATGTTTTACGACATGGTAAATTGCGTTGGGGATATCTTTCTGTATAAATATGTCTTGCCTCACGTGAGTTACCATTTACAAGACCGTAGGTAAAGTGCATATCTGCTATTTCAAAATTTATAAACTTAGGCATGATGAAATCGATTTTGATGAACTGAAACAATTTGGCCCGAAAACGTATGCACAATCCATATAGGGTTTGCCGGACTTACAATAAACCAAAGGTTCTGCCGGAGTTATGGCACTTATCTAGCAGTTGGAGTCGCTTGACCGAGGCGGTGAGCACCCTACCTCTGGTTCCCTTACCTCCTAGAGTGGATATTAAGTATGAGACGCTACATCCGGGGCGATGAGCGCACCTTCCTGGTCGCAGCGATCTCATGCGTGTTGATTTATGCCAGCGAGGATTCGGGATCGGCGATCGTACTCGTGAGAGTATGAACGCCGCGGGACTATGTCTTATCTAGTGTGCGCCTTTTATACAAGGTGCGGCGCCAAAATCCGGACAAATTATACATTTTTTCTAAACATATTTTTTATTGCAACAACGAAAAGGTTTACAAAATTTTTTTAACCACGTTGTTTGTAAGGCTATAAAGAACACATTTACTCAATATATCACCCACTTGCTTGAATGACCGCCTCCATTCTCAGTTTGAAGCGTGCGCAGGCGCGTTTTAATGTGTCACGATCCATATCGGTGAATGCCGCTTCAATAGCGGCTCTCAATGATGCGACGTTTGGATGTCTGGACTTGTTCGTGACCCTTTCAACTACGCTCCATACATAGAAGTTCAAAGGATTCACATCTAGGCTGTTGGGAGGCCAGAATTCTTTCGACCAAAACATGTCGACGTTGTCCGACAACCAATTTTGCACCAAATGACTTGTGTGGGTGGGCGCACCGTCCTGTTGGAGAACATACGGCTTTCAGACGACATAGTTTCCATCCACGGTTTCACTACATTTGTCAGAACACGCAAATAAACTTCTTTTGTGACATTTTCCTCTTTGTTAAAGAAATGCGGTGGTATGACATCACCCTCACTGGATACAACACCTAATACGTAAACATTTGCCGGAAAAAACCTTCGTTGGACTTGTTCGACTCATTGTACTTTGCGATGACATCATACACAGTCGATCTCGGGTACCCGAAGAACCGAATGATTTCTGTCGCCGAGCGCCCAGCGCGAACACTTTCGATAATCGCGGCTCTTCGGTTATACTCCGCACTTGGTTTCAACATTGGGACTATTTCGAGGTTATGATGGTTTAGTACATACGTCAAGCCATTTGAACGCTAATCGCGACATCTACCAGTGGTATAGAACGGCGAGAATTTCAAATTGAATTTTGTCCGGATTTTGGCGCCGTACCCTGTACTCGGCGGCTCTCGATTTCGGCACATACGCCGTTCCCCCACGTGAGGGAGTACTCGGCGGCGTCGCGAGTCGGCGGCGGTTTTGCCTTATTTATTTGGCGCTTTGCGCCTACTATATGACCTGACTGGTGTTCGGTCGGGTCGTCGTAACGAGGAGAAAATGTCTCGTCACAAAACTAAATATTTATATATTTAATATATTTACATATATATTAAATATAACTAAATATTTTATATAATATTTATAGTAAACAAAAAATAAATATTTGTAGTAATATTTTGTGTATGTGTAAATATTTCTG